CGCGCAAAATTAACTGGCCCTGGAGGATGTAGAATACTTTGAAAGCATAAAATGTTCAATACAAAAGAAAGATGCCGCTAATTCGAACTTTTAACCTAGGTGCGTGCTAAAAATAACAATAACTGTGTATAGCGGGGAATTATACAAGCGGACCACGTTGCAACACCGAAAATTCTACTGGTGTAGAGCGCAAAATATACCATCGACTTGGAAATCCTGAAGATGGACAAGCTTTGCACTCACGGCCCCCCCCCGCGAAACGCTCCTGGGTTTCGTGTTTCATGAAAGTTCCTCGGAGAGTGATGATTCTAACTGAAAATCGAATCCAGAGCCAGCAGACATTTCCTTCCAGCGACGGCCAAACGACACCCCGCAACCACTGTCGCAGGATCCTCAACGTCAACGCTCACACCCTAGTTCGATATTTAATTCAGATAATAAACCTATTAATTACTCACATCATTGATTATTTAATACAATAGAAAATAAATGTATATAATTTGTGAACCGCAATATCAGTTTCACAAGAGACAAGAATAATCTGGAGGTGGGATGACGGTATGACACAAAAACATTATCGCCTATGGCGTGACTGAACAATCTGCCGAGACTCTGGCTTGCGTATCGAAAATTTTAGCGAGTCATGTGAAGGTTTCAAAAAGCAAACGCGTGCGGGAAAAAGCAGTTATTATAATAAATATAAGCATTCTTATTAAAATCATCGTGTATAGTCCAGGGATGCCACCACACTGAATGCAAGAGAAAAACCCCTTTAGCTCCAACTGTATCCATGATACAAGTTCAGAGTTATTTCTTGAAACTACTATAATTGAAGGTCCCATACCCATTAGTTAGATACGAATCAACTTTTGCAAGTCAAAATAGCTAGATTACCAATAGCAAGAAATGTGAAGGCCCAAAATCAGGCGGAAATACACACAATAATAATGCTAACTCAATGGCAAGATCCGAGAACCAGAATCCAACTAGTTAGAAAAGATACTGGAACTTGTAGTTGTCTCCCTGCAAAAAGGACACACCCGTTGCACAGAATGCGCGGGTAGGGCGCTAATCTTCAAGGTGCTGCAACCATGGGCGACCCTTATGGCAACGCTTCCCATCTATACGCATGTACAGATCGGCGCGCTCTCGGACGGTACTCTCTCACGTCTTATGTCTTCTCTGATCGTTTTGTCTGAGGTAAGCAAAACAGCCCTTTTGCGTTTTTGTTGGGGCTTATATGCCGAATGCTGGGGAGAGGAGTTAGGGTCCCGAGCAGGGACAATCTTACGTTGTTTCGAGTAGAAGACGCAGGGGAGTCGGGTGTCCCAGTTGAAGCTGGAAGCAGCCGGGTGGTATACTCTCTCGGGTAGCCAGAGGCATGTAGAAAATTCATAAAGGGAGTGTGCACTATCACATACACGATCTTCGAGATAGAAGGGTGTACGAAAGGAAGGAGCAAAAAACGAGCGCTCAGATAGGGTTATATTTATGTAGTGAGTAGGAGAATTAGGTGCATATATTGCAACCCTTGTCTACCAAGCATGAAAGAAGCTCATCTTAGAGATTAAGAGAATAGGAATGGCAGGCATGTTGAAATAAAAAAAAGTTGCTCGCACATGACAGTGGAGTGAGACAGAGGCGGAAACCCAATATGAACTATGTGCCCATGGATAATAGCCAGCCACTTACGTGCGCAAGATAGATTCTAATTTACTTGGGAGGCATCCTATGTAATATGAAACCATCGCATTCTATTCTGAATGAAAGCTGCAAATGAAATCGAGCGCAGGAAAAAGATGACAAGAAAAGCAATTTAAATTAAAGGCAATAGATAAGGAAGTTACCGAAAAGAACGAAAAACTTAAGAAAGAGAAAGCAAAACAAAAGACAAAAGGAGGAGAGGAGGGCAAGGTATCGAGCGGGGGGTGCGCCGAGTCAGCGAATCGAGCGGCGGGCCCGGAGGCGTGGCGCGCACCAAGGCAAGGGATGTAAGTGCAAGCGCATGCTCGGAGCTTCTAGCACATCCTAAATTAAACATAAAATTGGTCTTCCAAGAAGTTACGGGCAGTGAAACCTAAGAAAACTCGCGTTTTCGAGAAAATGGCTTGAAGAAAACCCGTAAAATAAACGCTATACGAAGTTATACCCGCGCAAAAGACTAAACGGGACTAATTTTGAAATGGCTGGCTATGTCACTTTACAACTATTTGGAGCCTCTTAGGAAAGTGATTGCCTCGGAGGTTGCACATACCGCCCCGCGACGCCCTGTGCAGCGTTCCCAATATGAGATGAACATTGAAGAAGATATATCACAAGGGTCCATGAAAGATCGGTGTAATGAGGGGTGAAAAGTCGCTTTTTTGCGACAGAAAAAAGTAACAACGTAGTAAATTTATATTAAATTAACTTTCAAGGAATTTTTACACATGGTTGGAGAGAAAATAATGTGAACTTTCCATATCAAATCACATCGGCGCAGAAGCTCGAATATGAAGGAAGTTATAGCCCTAGAAAAGGAGTGTAAAAATTGTGTTTCGATTTTATTTTTTGCCTAGTAACTTATTCATTCCGAAGTGTTTGAGAACAAATGAGCACTCGTTAGGAAGAAGGAGCTACGTCGATTTTAAACCCACCTAAATCTCCCGAACTACCTGAAAGTAAAAAAGAAAACTCCTTGAACACATTCCCCGTTCGACGCCTCTCCACCGTGAGCAAACATAAATAAATATGATATAAATAATATTTGTTCAAATTGCAATAGTACATAAGCTGCTCCACGCCAAAGATCAGTCAGCACACAGCTGGCTAGGGCTTCTTTCAACCGAAAGGGAGGGTAGACTGAAAAAGAAACATACTCGTGTGTAGTGACCAAAAGCTGGTAAGTTCTTGACGAGGGGAAATAAATAAAAACAGTAGCTGTCAGTAGTTATCCACGTTTGCGAGTAGTTGTGTACAATTTTGCTCCTATGTTCTCGAAATGCGCGTTTAAAATAGGACTGTCAAATGGAGATTCGACTCTATGAAGCTGTTCCTGTGAATCGGAGATGAAGATATTTGTTTAGTTTTACACTTCTATGTACTGTGATATGTAATTAGCATTGGTGAGCGCCGGTGGCAAGGTAGAGAAGGCTTTTTCTAAATTTAGGAACAGTTATGGAGGGTAAGAACTTAATCAAAAAAAGCAATAATAAATAAGTTAGTTAACGAGCTTTAGGAAAGGCGTCGTCACGTCATGGACGTTCGGGCCCTGAGGGAGAGATAGGAAAGCGAAGGAACAAATAAAAGGGGTTGCGAGGGTCGTACTGTCAGAGTTTCCATCTCGACGGTTCGCTTGGCACCCGCGAGACAGCAGATGCGCCAGGTCCCTAGATTGTGGTTAACATGCATTGGACCAGCGAAAGGATGCGAGCACACAGCGAACAAAACTACGAAGATTTTTGTACCACACATGGTACAATCGAGTGTAAGGCATGACCCAGGATTACATTGGTGTGGCTCTGGGACACGAACGCGAATGTATTGGTGCGAAAATGGACGGACAGTAAAAAAAAAGGAGAAGAGATCCGTCGAAAACGCCTAGGGCAAGGGCTCACTCACCTTCATAATCGGCTGTGCTAAGGGAATCAGAGACTAAGCACGGAGAAGAGAGAGTATGAGGCGAGGGAGCGCTACAGCTGAGAGAGCGGCAGACAGCAACCAAATAGGAAGGGAAAGCAATCATGCAGCAGGGAAGGAGCAACAATTGAATGTGGCGCAAGTGAGATAAATTGCCAGTTTCGGGGGGAGCCACTCCATTTTTTCTCCAATACTCAAGATAAGGATTAGAGGGCTCACGACACGTAATCGACTCATTTAAAGTAGACTTCTGATAAATATTGGTGTAATGGGTGAGAAACCCTGAAACGTTTTCACATTTCCGCCTGCCATGACCCAATGGGAACGGTCCTGGACCAGGAGAAAGGACATACCTCTCGCAGAAGGGCTAAGGGGCTGAAATGTAGGGGAACTTCAAGAGTAGGATCTCTGTGCAGAAAAAGTGGGAGTGGATGGGAAGTGGACAGGTAGTGTAGTGTGAAGGACTAAGTTATGGACATCCACCAAAAGTACGCTCGAAATGAGTCGTTCACTTATTATCTTATCCGTAGTGTTCGATAGCCCAAAGAACTGCTCTCTAGTACTACGGATAAGATAGCAATGGAGTGCCCCCCCCCCCGAACTGGAGTTTCACCCTTTTTTGCAAGGTCCAAGCGCTTTTGTCGGTTAGTTTTTATGCACGGGAACGCCACATTGTGATTGTCTCTCTAGGGGTCCGTACTACAGACCGAAGGGAAGCGTTCACACGATCTCTGCCTGGATTGTGCCTCTAAAGGGGCGAGTATGTAGGATCAATGTTAGGGACTCGCATCCCCGAGTATTCTACTTTGCTTTTCGCGCAGAAAGTTAACAGTAAGTAGATACGAGATCTCTGTTTTATCCAAAACAGATATTCCTTCTCAAGTGTTGGTAGCATCTCCAGAACAAAATCTAAATCGCCGGTACCGAGAAAGTAGTCGTACACCATTGGTATTAAGAGCGGTGGCTGGGAACGCGTGAGATAGTACACACGGCCACCATTTGGCACAAACCCATGATTATCGACCATAAACGCAAGATTTTTAATAATTCCTCTCGCTGTTTCGTACATTTCAGAGAAAATGAGACCTTTCAATATCCAAAACGAATCCCAGTAATAGAATTCCCTGAAACGACCACCTGGTATAATGAAAGGATGAGGTACATATAGAAGAGAATAGTGATCTTGATGTCTACGAACGTCATCGCGTACCCGTCTACATAAATCTCCAAATTCGATGTAAATGGAGCGCCCATCTTCGGTGGTGGTAGTCGTGTATATTCAAAAAAGTTGAAGGAAAGTCGACCCAATCACGAGGAAACCATTCCACGAGTTCCGATCCCGGAGGATTAAAATGAGAATTGACAAATTCTCTAAGTACAGCAATATCCTTCGCTTTATCGCCGAGTTCGTCGAAGTTCCTCAATGTCGCAATTGGATCGAATTTTAACGACATGTCGACGAAATGCTTCGAATCAGGGAACATAAACGAGTCCTGGACCGTCCTAAGTATTGGTCCATCGCAGTAGATTTGGCTGAGTACAGATAAAACTGTGTAGAGCATTGCCTAGCGACAAGTAAACTTTCACTCCACCGCAGCGATTTCTATATCGATGTCATGAAACGCTCCCGTACCACAAGACAGAGCAAATGTGAGGAAACCGGTTACTCACGAGGAGGATAATTAAATCAGATAAGTAAGTAGATAGTTTTGGATCTACTACCACTGCTCATCTGCGGTTCGATTTTTGATGTATTAGGTTGTCTAAGAAGTTCATGCGTATTTTGAACTTCTTTTGAGCCTACTCTATTTCACGTGCAAGCATCATCAATGTATGCACCATCACTATCCGTGACTTGTTGCCAACGAATAAACGGAGAGTGGCCGCTTAGCTCCCAGATGGATGGCAGCTACAAGCTGAAAAAGGCACTGAGTCGATTTCGTGGTGCCTACAAAAAATTTTTCTTGTGTGTGTAAGATTACTGCTAAGCGGAAAGAGCGCATGTCCTTCGAAAGAGGATGGATCACCGCTGCACGTTGGATGTGGTAGCATTTTTCGGCTAAACTCCGATCTCTAGAGACGCGTTTTTTCGAAACACGCCATTTCGGTTGTCGTGGAGCGGACATACTTTTTCGAGTTTTCGAGGACAGTTGTTGGAATTTCGCCGTGAGTCTCTGCCGTTGATCTACATTACACTTGGCTGACTTCATAGCTATAATGAGGGAGATGTCTTAGTGGTTACTCGAGAACGCTCCAAAAGAGGTGGAGCACGACCTTGTGGTGAATTTATTCCATTTTTCGCGCTTATGTTCGATCCAGCCCCGGGGATTCTTGGTGTAGCCATATGAAACCTGTGCTTTTCAACTGCAGTGAAGGCTTTGTTCAACGAAGAGTATTCGGGTGGAGTAGGACACCCTTTATAGACGGGACACGTGTCGCACTCTCTCATCAGTGGTCTGATTATGGGGAATCTTTGGCTAATCGTAAGCTTCAACTCTTCTACGAAGAAGCGAGAACATCTATGAACTGTTCATCCGAAACACCAGGGTGTAACAACAACATAGCAGGTTTCATCGTGTGGAGTGGCTCCCATGGATAGCGCAGGCTATCCAAATGAAGAAATGACCTCCCTGAACGAAGATGCTTCTACTGGCTTTAGCCTCCTGAGCAAAGAAGATCAACCCATTCTGATACCTCATGACTGGCAAGGTGTAGGGCAACTGTGCTTCTGCAGAATGAGTATAAGTCCTTTCAGGATGCGTGTACTCACGTCATTGCAAAGTTAGTTCTGTAAGTGTGTATGTGTACCGACGATAGGGACCAGGAGTGTCCATGTCCGAATCGTCTAAAAGTTAATTTTCTCGCAAGCAGCCATTTCTGACGAGTTTCCCAAACTGGGAAGGTGGTTTTCAGACTTGGAGAGAACATGCCTGAAAAAAAGGCACACGGAGAACACCGCCGATTCAAGCTGAACTGTAGACACAGAGCGTGGCAATAACCACTAGCACTCCACATTCGTGAGCTATTTGCCTCTCATATTCGTGCCGAGCCTGGGCCTACGCTGTATCCCAACAACCACTGTAATTTCGTACAATGAGTCTTTAGCAGACGTAAACTCGGGATCAGCGTTTGAAGGGGCATCACGTGATACGATGATACATGATGGTGACCGTTGCTGGCGTTAAAGGGAACCATAGCGACCGGTGAGGTAATTTACGGAAACCCCATTGCTCCTCAGAGACCTAGGTCTTCGTGTCCCCTGAAAATCATTTCTTCTCTGATTTGTTTTTTTCAACCATGCTCACGCCAGGTCACCTTTGCAGTCGTATGGGTACTGCTAGTTCCCTAAACCAGCCCTTTTTCCTTTTTTCTCTTAATATTTGCATTGATTTCCCATATTTGATTCACTGGCGCGTCCTATTCGGACGTATAAATAAATAAATAAATATTTGATTACAAAGGGCCACTTCGACATACCATCCTTCGCTGTGAGCTGGCTATATTGCACGATACGTTCGGCATCTATGTCTTCCGGAAACTATACGAAGAGTTTATTAAATTATTTGCTACCACGTTTTGGAATATTCGTTCCAAACTCTTGAAAGTCAAGCAGGATGCTTTTCGGAAGAGTAGTGGCTGTAATTTGCAAAAGAAAAATCACTACGACTATGCCAACCTTGCTAACCTCAAAAAATAAGCCTGCTAACGCACAAAATGAGAAAACGACGGGTAGCTAAATTTATTGTCCGCTGATAACTGGTGAATTGCACTACAGAAATACTTGTTCGCAAAGTTTCCTAACAAGTACTGAGGCCTTCTAGGCAGCAGCGACTGAATTGGCCTGAAAGAATTAAAAAATTTTAGCAGAGTGCGATGAATTCCTATGAACTTCTCATTTTGTAGGTTTCGATAGAAGGGCCTATAAAATTGTTCATGTACCCGTGCCTAATGTCTATACTTGGAAAGCCGAGCCTGTGTCGACTGAAACACAAGGAGATTTTGAAGTGCTTCCGTCGAAATTTATATCCGCCCGAGGCGAACCCCTACACGACGCCACCACCACCTACGCCGACCGAGAAAGAAGATGCTGATTGGTGGAGTTCGATGTAAGATTATACTTTCAATGCACATTTATATTGATTAAAAGTACAGTCCGTATCTCGACGTCGGGGAGGGCGGGGCTGCGGACTAGTTGACGGAGCGAGCGCGGCGGTTGCGTCCTAGAGTTATGGCGGGGAAAGTTGTCTGAGGTCATGTGTGCAAGTTGCACTGTCATCTGAGTCTTTTTTCTCTAGGTCTCTCCATAAGCGCAGTCACTGGAGTGCTCTTCCGTCTGGCTATCGCAGCGTATTGACGGCCGGATCAGCTGTTTTTAGCATTATTCGGTTACAAACTAGTGTTCTGCTGCTCCGCCAGGCTTCCTTCAACAGAGGTAAGTCATTTTTACCTTAGATAAGATTGGTTAACAATAGTATAGCGTGGTTATTTCGCAGTTCTTTGGGTTTTAATGTTGTTTCGACCGGATACAAAATTTTGTTTTGTTGTTTTTCCTTAATTCCTAGTTATTCGACTTGCTCTTCATTTCGGTGTCTTTGCTGTGTTCCGTTTATTGTCTGGAACTCACATTGACACTGTTCTGAAGGTTGCAGTCGTTTCAAAAAGTGATTTTGTCAAGGTTTCACGCACTCGCCACGATTTTGCTGCCACGTGAGTTTTATTTTTTACTTTCGATTGTTCCTTTTTTTATTCGACTTGCTCTTCATTTCGGTGTCTTTGCTGTGTTCCGTTTATTGTCTGGAACTCACATTGACACTGTTTTGAAGCTCGCAGTTCCTTCGATAATGTTTTTGTAAGACTATGCAACAGTCGCTGCAGGTTTCTGCTATTGAGTGAGTTTGCTTTTTTATTTCCCATTATTTCCTTTTTCAATTAATGCTTCTTCTTTCGAGTACACACTAAAAGTTCTTTTTTTGTGTTTGGGACACTATTCACAAACGTTTTGAGGGTTGCAGCTGTTTGAAACTATCCTTTTCTGGAGGTATGCTGCAGTAGTCATGGATTTTTTTTCCAAACAAAGTGCAAAATGAGACTTCGATGGAAACTTTGTTTGAGAAAAGCGATGTAGGTACCCACTTTTGATATTTGTTTTATCAGATATTACATGGTATTACAGAATTGCAGCAGATTGCATGCCTCATTTGTCGCACCAGCTGTCGCAAGCTTCCACTTATTTGTGTTAGGTAATATTATCTCATTGATGTTTCTCTTTCTCTTGGTTATTTGTAATGATTATCGCATTAAAAAAGCCTCCGTTTTTTCTTCTTTCCACCAGAAGGCATTCTTCTCTGTTCGGGAGGCTGCTTGATTGAATTTGCTTTTTTCTTGTGATGGTGTTTGACGTGTTTGTGACCTTATTCACGCTTTTTTTACTGAGAAGTTGGCTGAGCAATCGCTGAGTCTGGCATCCTCCTAACGCATAATGGGGGAGCAAAGTGGAGCTGGGTGTTTCGCCTTACATGCGGTTTCTCTCTTCGTAATTTTGTTCACACTCTTGTTAATGAAAAATAGCTTCACTTTGCTCCCCCATTATGCGTTAGGAGGATGCCAGACTCAGCGATTGCTCAGCCAACTTCTCAGTAAAAAAAAGCGTGAATAAGGTCACAAACACGTCAAACACTATCACAAGAAAAAAGCAAATTCAATCAAGCAGCCTCCCGAACAGAGAAGAATGCCTTCTGGTGGAAAGAAGAAAAAACGGAGGCTTTTTTAATGCGATAATCATTACAATAACCAAGAGAAAGAGAAACATCAATGAGATAATATTACCTAACACAAATAAAGTGGAAGCTTGCGACAGCTGGTGCGACAAATGAGGCATGCAATCTGCTGCATTCTGTGACCAATGTAATTCTTGTATAAACATATCAAAAGTGGTACTTACATCGCGTTGCTCAAACAAGTTTCATCGAAAGATATATTGCACTTTGTTGTGGAAAATAAATCATGACTACTTGCCAGATAACCTCAGGAAGGATTAGTTTTCACAGCCAACCCCAAAACAGTTTTGTGATAGGTGTCCAAACAAACACAAAAGAACTTTTAGTGTGTACTCGAAAGAAGAACGCATTAATTGAAAAAGGAAATAATGGGAAATAAAAAGCAAACTCACTCAAGTAGCAAAAACCTGCAGCGACTGTTGCATAGTCTTACAAAAACATTATCGAAGGAACTGCGAGCTTCAAAACAGTGTCAATGTGAGTTCCAGACAATAAACGGAACACAGCAAAGAACGTAATGTAAGAGAATGATAAACTAGAAGGAAAAACAACAAACACTTTGTATCCGGTCGGAACAACATTAAAACCCAAAGAACTGCGAAATAACCACGCTATACTATTGTTAACCAATCTTATCTAAGGTAAAAATGACTTACCTCTGTTGAAGGAAGCCTGGCGGAGCAGCAGAACACTAGTTTGTAACCGAATAATGCTAAAAACAGCTGATCGGGGCCGTATGCTATGCTCCCCCAACAGGGGAGGGGTCCCCGTCCCGGTATGCTATGCTCCCCCCGACAGTTCTCGGGGAGAGGCCACGCCCACCGATAGCCGGGGATATCTCCCCTATCGCCTGCCGATCGGGGCTAGCCGGGGATACCGTAATTTCGTAGCCGCCGTACGCATAATTGACTGTCGCGCGCGCAATTCTTCTATGGGTTGCGTACTGCAGTTTTAAGAATTGCTCATTTGTGAGTACATCACTACAAATATGATGTGCAGAATAAGGTTTAGAGTCGGACACCCTCAATCAATGCCCACCAAACTTATTTCAAATGATTTGGTCACGTTCGATCCATGATTGTTATTTATAGCAGATCTCAAACAAAGATTTGGATGCTATGTTATGTTTTTCACATTTTGCAGATTTTTAATCTTCCTACTTGAGATTGTGAGCCATTATATCACATGCCAGTATTTACCGTTTTAGTGGAGGCAGCCTGATGTAGCTGTTTTCTATCGATCAGTTAACTATATTTTATCGAAGATAGAACCAGAAGATTTTTTTCACATGAAAAATATTGGCTATCGAAGCCAATTGACTTATTCATAAAAGTGAGCGGAACTATTTTTTTACTGATCATATCGCACACTGCCACAATTCTTTAGTGAATTAAAGGGAATATCAAATGTTCCTGTCAACAACCAATAATTAAGAAACTTCATTTCAAGGCAATCCAATATTCATGGGCAAATCGCACTGTGACGTCGAGAGAAGAGCAAGGCGAATGAGATGAAGTCGAGGATTCTCCCAATTGCAAATTGAAGTACTAAGTAAACCTGTTAATTGTAGAATGAAGATATGAGTGCAGGCTTATCAGATCCGCGAAAAAGGAACCATATACATGTAAATAAATGTGTCTTGAACTGCTTCTACGTTCCTACAGTATTACATACCCACCCACAATGATACTTCTATACCAAAATTAGATTGAAAAGAATAGAAAGAGAATAGTATACATTATGAATAATAAAAACTACACATCAATCCATTGCCCAGCCAATATATTCGGCAGTATACTCCTCCTCATAGCTCGGATTGAGTTATCGAGTCAGATCTCGAAGTATATAATGAAAGCCTTATATAATCGGACTTTCTATTTAACTGCGGAACATATTGCAGTAATGAACATTGCAAGAAGAACAATTAAATCAAGCCCTATGGTTTATCAAGAAGTACCTGCGGCTGATGAAGCATCAGCGGGGGAATCTTTGTTTAAGATTTCGCAAAATTAGATTGTTAGAAGATTTTTGTTGTTTTGAACAGAAAATTTTCGAGTTCTCCAAGGTAGATCTCTGGCTAATCTAATACATATGATAGAATGATCTTCTCCGGATCATCACCAACTCGGAGCGTGAACATATGAGAGCGTGAATGAATGGGTGGCCTGTTTTGCCTTAAACATGCTCAGTAAATAATGTAAACGATAATATGCCGAATAGAGCATTATTAAAACGCTTCAGATGCTTTGTGGAAGACAATGCTGATCATAGTCACAATATAGTGGACATCAAAGGAACTCCAAGTATTTCTCCTTTACTTTCGAAGTAACATTGCTAATCTTCGATCACCGGGTATCCTATGCTGCAAATGCACCCTAAAACTTCAAAATTAGTAGCTTTCCAAGCGTAACTAATGTCTGGAAAAGATGCAAAGTTTTTCTTTCCGCGCATGTATCTTGATGTCTGTATAACTGGGAAACCCCCGAGCATAGTACCGACGTTTCGGGGCAGTCCCGCAGCGGGGAGCTCCCATAAGGGGGCCCACTCCATTGTGGGGAGAGCATGGCATCTGGCCCCCGGCCCGTCATATACCGCTGCGAGGCGACGGAGAGACTCAGTGACTGCGTATATAAGAGACTTAGAGAAAAAGATCGAGGAGAAGTGCAACTTGCACAATGACGCGACATTCACGACAAACTGCCATTAGGAATCGCACGCGCCCCGCCGTGCATCTTGTCGCAGCCCCGCCTCCGGACTTCGAGATATGGCTTTTAATTAGAAGTAATTTATGGCGTCCGAGTGTTTATGAAGGCAAGTGCGTGCTACGAGATCTACGTGCTCACTTACGTACTAACATCTTCCACAAAACAATCACCACTTTATAGTCAGTAAATAATGGAGCTAAATAAGACTGCAGTCGTTTATTTAGCTTCTCACACGTAGCATTTCACTAATTATAAAATCCATTTTCCGAATTTCCTATGTGCACTACGATCAAACCGGGAAAGATTCATTGAACAGTATTCAAAACCAAATCTTCCAGAATCAGGAACTATTGACTTAC